CCAGAATTATAAGAACCATTCTTTAATTTCTACTTCAAAGAATGGCCACAAAGAGACAGATTTTATGAGTGCTTGGTTGATGACTGATTGGATAAAACAGTTGTGAATCACCAGTTCATTTCCTTGAAAGAATATGTAACATGATTCTTCAAGGAAAGTTACATGGTTTGTTAATTATCTAGTACCTTTTTAATTTGCCTACTACTGGACTATTTCCTATCATTAGCACACACTCAATAACTGGCAAAGAAAAACAGATAAAACAAAAATTCATCAATTTTACTTGTAGGTTCTTCAATCCTGCCCCCTTTTCCCTACAACATTAAATAGGATAGTTTGCTGAGTTACAAAAGAAAGAGTCTTAGATAGAAAGAAATCTGTCTTCTGTCTGGAAATAGTTGCCTTGTTTTTAACTTTGTTTCTCAAATGTGCTATAGAGGAGTTTAGAGACTAACTAATAAGATAATTTTAAAGAAACATCTATACACCATATGCCTAATTTATACCAAGCACAGTTTGTCTTAAAAAGCACATTAAAATACAGAAAATATAATGTAAAAAGCAACCATATACTAATCATTCTGAATGAATTCATGTTAATATTTTGTCATATTGCTTCACATTACAAAAAAATTCATAAATTTGAAGTTCTCTTTGATTGTCTTTTCAGTTCTGATTTGATATTGGAATAAATCATTCTGGTCCTCATTTGTATACTTTAATTACATATCTATGGATCCATAAAATATATATAGTATAATTTATATATTTTTAATTACATAAATGATGGCCTTATGCTAAATGTGACTTCTCTTTTTTATTTGGAATTCCTTATCTGTCATTTCAATATATTCTGATTTTGTTTGGTATCCATTGCTAGAGAGCTGGTGTTCCCTTTTGCTGGTGACCTTTCGCTCTGATTCTTCATACTTGCAGAGTTCGTACGCTGATTCCTTCTCAACTGGAGCAGCTGTTGCCTCTTATTTTTGGATTTTCTTTTGTTTAGATAGGGCTTATTCTCCTCCCCTCACTCATACAGGTGTGTTTGTAGCATATGTTGGGTAATACCTTTGGCTTTGATGGCGATCTAGGTTCTGGATGGATGCCTTGGTTATAGATATCCTTGGTGTGGTGGTTTTCTCAGTTGCTAGTCATTTGTAGGATATAGCTATGGTGAGCTATGTGAGTGGGCAGATTTCTTGTCTCTCTTTGATGAGGGAGTGTGGAGGTCTCTGAAATCCTTTCTCTTTCCCTATCCCTGTGGTCTTCTTAACAGTGTGAATTGTATTGGCATGCCCACTTTAATCTCTGAGACAGCAGCTGGTGCTTGTGGGTGAGAATCAACCTGTATGACTGAGTCAGAAAATGCCGTAATGAGAGTGTGCAAAGTATTTTCTGTCATAGACAATTTATTCGACAATTACTGAGTACCTACAATGAATCACAGGGCTAAAGACCAGAGACACAAAAATAACTAAGGCACTTTTCTTCTAGGGTGAGAGACAAAATAGTTAAGCAACCAAAAGTAGTAGGAATAGTGGCTTTCAAATATTTTTTACCAAAACCAGAGGAATAATTATGTTTTATGTCATTACTTGATGTACATTTATATGTATGTATGTAACTGAAGCAAAAGTTTCAAAAGACAATATTTATTTTTTCTGAGTGCAGTACATTCTGGTATTTCCTACTATAGTCTCTTCTATTTTATTTTTAAATACTTGTCATGACCCTCAAGACAAGAATTCTCTATATGATGACTTCTATTCAACACTATACTAGGAATATGCACATATCTCATTACCCCGTAACTCAGCCATTCCATTCCCAGGAACTATATATGCTTAACAAATACATGACCCTCAAGACAAGAATTCTCTATATGATGACTTCTATTCAACACTATGCTAGGAATATGCACATATCTCATTACCCTTTAACTCAGCAATTCCATTCCCAGGAACTATATATGCTTAACAAATACATGCATATGTATACCAAAAGACATGTACAATAATGATCACAGCAACTTGTAATAGCCCAAAACTAGAAGCAATCCAATTGTTTGTCAATAATATAGTGACTAAATAAATTATGATATGTTCATATAATTCCATAAGCAATGAAAACAAAGGAACTACTGCTACACACAATAATATCAGTGAATCTCATATTGAGCAAAAACTATCAGACAAAAAGGATTGTATATTGGATGATTCCATGTACATAACATTCAAAAACACACAAAATTGAACCATGGTGTCAAAGATAATAATAGTACTATAGTTACCTCTGGGAGAAGGATGTGGTAATACCTGGAGAGTACGCAAAAAATGCTTCCAGAATACTGGCAATGTTCCGTTTCTTGATCTGAGTGGTGTTTACAAGTACGTGTTACTGTTTTCATCATGCTGTGCAATCATGATTTGTGAACTTTTCTACACGTATATTATACTTAAATAAAAGCTTATTTTTAAAAACTTAATGAAAAAAAGAAAAATAAGAAAGGGAAGAAAGCATGGTTACAGTAATGAGCACTGACAGTTTCTACTCTGCCAAGGAAGGAGAAAGAAAATTTAGAAAAATGCAAAATGAATATTAATAAAATGAAGCTTATGTAGTATAGGAAAAAATAGTCTTACCATAAATAAGCCTAAGCCTGTCGTTATATTACAACATGTTAGGAATTAATTTTAATATAGTTTGTCATAGCTCAGTCATTTCCAGGAATACCTCATGGCAGAGGTGGCTAATTGTAGCCCCTAAACGGTTGTTCCTTTAGACACAAGATTCACAGGTCTGGGGAAATCTAAACACATGGATGCCAAGAATAAAGTCTGTTGTTTTCAGCTTCTGCTGCAGCTAGTGGGATTACGTATCAACATTCTGTACAATGGAATGTGAACAAAAATCGTTCATGCAACATCTGGATTATGCCCTTGGAGTATGCGCTCCCTGGGTCTTCTCTGTGGCATGATAGCAGG